GTCCCAAGCCAAATGTTAACCAACACGCCACTCGGCCAGCCCCACAACCTAAGATTTGATATTTGTATATATTGCAAAATGATCATAAAAAATAAGTCTAGTTAACATCTGTCACCATACATAGTTATAATTTTTTTTTCTTGTGATGAGAACTTTTAAGATATACTCTCTTGGCAACTTTCAAATATACAATACAGTATTCTTAACTATGTAGTAACCATGCTGCACATTACATCCCCATGACTTACTTTATAACTGCAGTTTGTACCTTTTGATTCCCTTTCACCCATTTCGCCCACACTCCGACCCCCTACCTGTTCTCTATATCTATGAGTTCTCTTTCTTTCTTTCTTTTTAGATTTCACATACAAGTGAAATCATACAGTATTTGTCTTTATCTGTCTGTCTTGTTTCACTTAGCGTAATACCCTCAAGGTCCATCCATGTTGTCACAAATGGCAAGATATTTTTTTTAATGGCTGAATAATATTCTGGCATATGTATATGTCACATTTTTTTATCCAATCATCTGTTGATGGACATTTAGGTTGTTTCCATATCTTGGCATATGAAAATAATACTGCAATGAACATAGGACTGCATGTATCTTTTTGAGTTAGTATTTTTAGATTTTTAAAAAATTTTTTATAAATACCCAGAAGTGAAATTTCTGGGTCATATGGTAGTTCTATTTTTAATTTTTTGAGGAACCCCCATACTGTTTTCCACAGTGGCTGCACCAATTTGCAATACCACTAACAGTGCACAAGGGTTCTCTTTTCTCTACACCCTCACCAGCACTTGTTATTTCTCATCTTTTTGATAGTAAGTCATGCTAGCAGGTGTGAGGTGATACCTCATTGTGGTTTTAATTTGCAGTTCCCTGATAATTAGTGATAATTGGCTGCCTTTTCATGTATCTGTTGGCCATCTGTGTCTTTTTAGGAAAAAGGTCTATTCAGATCTTCTGCCCATTTTTAATTGGATTATTTTTTTGGTACTAAATTTTATTAGGCAACATCCTAAGTACAGGATTCTGATATCCCTGGCTAAATATCCTACCACATTTTACAAATCAAGAGTTTTATTCTTTCTACTTATAGTTAATTGTACTCCACATTGCCAAAGTAAACAGCATTATTTCCCCTACAGACTCAGTTGACAAAGAATTACCTAATAGATCAATATGCTTTTAATTATTATAAATATATGGCTTTTTCCTGATTTTAAGAAAACACATTTGTTTTAATAATTCTAAACTGTACAGGAAAATATAATGTAAAAAGTCTCCTCTGAACCAGTTCCATATGGACAACCCCTTAGCAAAGTGTTCCAAATTTTTTTCCTATTTTGGTGCTAATGTTTATTACTATGATTGTTAGGTTTTTTTTAAAAAGTAGGATCATACTGTATCTACTGCTTATCTGCTTGCTTTTTAAATGTAATCAGCACCAACACCTTTTGTTAGGTTATTTATAGGCCTACCTCTTTTCAACAGCTGCATTGTATTTCATAGTATGCACACAATGATTTATGTAGCTACTTCTCAACTGATAACATTTGGGTTGTTAACAATTTTTCATTTCAAACTATACTGCACTGAATATAACTTACTCTTTTTGTTCACTTGTATGAGTATTTCTGTACGTTAAATTCATAGAAGTTGAATTGCTGGGTTAAAGAGCTTTGAACATTTAAGTTAATATATATTACCAAATTACCTCAGAAATACACCTCTAATTTACATGCACACCAACGGTATATAAGAAAGTGCCTGTTTAAATCTTCACAAATTTCTTAGGTAAAAACTGTCTTTGTTGTTTTAATGGGCATTTCTCTAATTATATGCATTTTTAAATCACTTGATCATTGTATATAAATCGCTTAATATCTTTTGTTCTTTTTCTTTCTAATTTACTTTTTTCTTGTTGGTTAAATCCCTTTATTTTTTTATGAAGCAACTTGAAAGACTGCCTTTCAGAATGGCACTCACGCTGAATAAGTATTAAAAGTGGTATTGTTCACTAAAAGCCACACGAGTCTGTATCTGCTTTTCGCTACAGAAAACATGGTTATTCTGAAAGTCCAGGCAAAACTCTCAGGAGAACTGCTTCAGTGTGGTGAGTTTAGTAAAAGTGACACTCAATATAGAAGGCCAAATGTTTTGGCAGAGTACTAACTGCTGGTGGAAAACAGGTTAGACCTGGTGGCAGGATAAACTCAGTGTAGACAAACTAAGAGAGTGAGGTGCCAAAATAGTTAACAGAAGGGTATGTACCTGATTTGTCCCCACTGCTTGGTGCCTTCAATGCTCCCAACTCTAGCCAGCCTACGTCCGTTTATAGTCAGAAGGACAAGTGTTTTGTCACTCTACTTGTATAATGTTAACTTCTCCTCTGAACTCCAAGAGTGATGGGATCTAAGAACCTATTTAGCAAAATTTTCCTCAACCCCATAATCATGTTATTTTCTCATTTCCTATTTTTCCTTTTCCTCACTCTCCTTTCTCTTCTACAATCTCCTAATCCAAGGTTTCTCATTCTGAGCCTGTATCCTAGAAATCTGGCGGAGATTTCAGAGACTGAAATCCAGACCTGCCTTTTTCAATCACGTTAAAAAGTCAGCGTTAGGATGCACTGCCTGTTGTTTCTCTTCTGGCCTCTCTGACAGTAAGTGGTTATAAATATAAACACACACACACACACACACACACACACACACACACACACACACAGAGTAGCATTACATTTATTTTTCCTTTGCTTCATATCCATCACCTTGTCTGCTACTCATCTGCCTTGCCCTTTTATTCAATCCTAATTCAGCTACACATCTGAACACTTTTGAAATAAACAAAATAAAAAGAAAATATAAACATTTTTCTTTTCCTGAAAAGAAAAATACTATTATTCTAGTTGGTTTTTTTTTTTTTTTTAGCTGAGCCATCCTGCCATCTACTGGCAGCTTAGCGGCAGCTCAGCTCAGGCTGGGCATCGAACTGCTGTTGCTCAGAGCTCACACTCTTGAGCAAGCTCTTAACCAACTGAGTCACTCGGCCGGTCCTACTATTATTCTTTTTGAAGGTAGAAGAAGGGGAGCAATTTCTGGCTTGAAAGATTTTGAATACCCTCAAAAGACTAATAAGTTTGAGAAACATCCTAATTCTTCTAGTCTAAATGTCTCCTTATAGGTGGAAGCTAGGCTTGATCTTAACTTTGGTCCCAGAAGAGGAAAACCATTTTCCTGATCAGTGAGATATTACTCTAATTTTCTTTCACATTAAGGCTAAGGATCAGATTTTCTTAGAACTCTGTTCTATTAGCAGTAAGCTATGATAGTGCCCACTCCATGGAGTGGAAGAAGCATTTTGCTCTGAAGCACTGAGCTTAAGAACAAATCTCATTTGTCTACAGGCCAAAAAGCTCTTACAATTCTTCCTTGTACACATCTGTTTCTATAGCTGCATGTGGCTTGTTTTCCGTACTCTACCTACAACCTCAGTTTCCTATGTTAAAAAAAAAGATTTATTTAAATATCTTTTACTAGATGATTTTTAAAATAAAACAGCTTGACAGTCTGGGGTGACAACTGGCATCTGTTATTACAGAAACACCTGTTATCTGGTCTCTGTTTATGCTTGGGGGAGGACAGGGAGGAAAGGACCCCAAAACAAAACAAACAAAAATGAACAAAAAAACCACCCTAACTTATGTCCTAAGCAAACAAAAAACATCTTCTGCCCCAAACTTAAATTCCAATTGTAATTAAAGACTCAAAGAGTAGTTGATTTGGGAAGACCCCATTCTAGGTCATCTCATCTGCTGCCACTGGCTCCTCCACTTACCAGATTGCTGCTTCAGCTGCTCTTTTTGGATTGCTGCAAACTGCTTGGCATCAGCCAGGGAGCCAAAAAGAGCAGCAAAGGGGTTACTTGAGATGTTGTTGTTATTCTCCTGGTCTGTCATTTCACTTTAAAATGTCCTCCATCCAGACCTTGCAGGAGGGGCTATAGAAAGGACAGGTATTAGATACAGAAGGTCAGATAACACAACAGTTGTAATATACCCCGTAGGTGTTTCTTTTCCTATTTCACAAATACAACATACTTTAAAAGCTTAGGGTAAGACTTTCCAATTCCTGTTCCAAGATTCAAGATGTTTTAGCAAAGTGGTTACAAACCTACTAACTGGACAAGTGGGCCTGGCTTGGGGGGTGGCTAAAACCAAAAATCTTATGAAAAGCTTACAAAAAGCTGGAATGCATTTATCTATTGACATGTTTTTATTTGCTATACCGTTAAAAAATAGGTTAAGTAGAAAGAATTACTGAAGTCAAAGAGGGAACTCACCTACTACATTGTAACAACAATGTGGCACTTAAAAATAATACCACAAGAACTATGGATTTCCCAGAGATCTCTAGGCTGGCCGGCTAGTTCTCATTCACCATGAGCATAAGGTGGCACCTGCTCAGGCTTCTATGACTATTTATTGGAGCTGGGAATTCCTCAGCTGCATGTAAACTAAATGTAATAAGCCTTTAAGACATGAAATGGCAAATCAGGATAGGAACGAGACAGCAGCATGTTGTGGATTTTAAATATATATTGAGCAATCTATCTTTACTCCTACGTTTACAACTACCGATATTTCCTCCACTAAAAACGAAATGATCTTTGCTTAATTCTATATTTGGCTTTTGCTGTTTATCTGAGTTTTTACAATACTGAAGAAACACAAATTCCTAATGTGTAATGTGAAATAGATATATACCTCAAAGGTATTCAGTGGAGCTGACAGCCTACATTTGCATTCTTCTGATTATATTCCCTCATTCAAGCGCCAGGGGGACTTGGTGGCACAATGGGATATGAACAGNACACACACACACACACACACACACACACACACACACACACACACAATTTTGGGAAGCCCAGTACTCCCCTACCTCTCATGTGTACATTTTTAATTTTTCGTTCTTCATCATTCAACTCCTTCAGGGCACAGTAAGTGGGATTAAAGGTGAGGAGCCGAGAGGATCTGGGTTTGCAAAATGGCTGGCATAGCTTCAGGAGAGCAGCACCCAGATTCAGAAAGAAGGCATCCGAGGCATACATTTGGAAGAAGATTTCTGGCATCTGATTGGCCCAAATCTTGGTGCGGCCTGCATTTGCATGCAAACAGTTTCCAAGCCAGGACAAGATACAGTGTTTGGTTTCTGGAGAGAGCTGGAGTAAGTTCTTCAGCATCTGGTAGATCTTTTCATGGAACTGAGCCATGAACTGTTTAACCAGAAAACAAAGCCACAGAACATTCCAGTTTCACAATCCTAATATTTGTTACTCCCAAACCTTAGCCACTGGCAATTTCCAAAAATATGCTAATCCTAATCTTTTCCCATACTCTCCTTGTGCCTTATCTCCCATATCCCCCCATTTCTGATTAAAAAAAAAATTTCTGGGCACTTATGAGATTTCCTGATTAGTTACCAAACTAATTAGCATAGCTTTAGAGTAGGGGTCAATGAACTTTTTCTTTAAAGGGCCAGATGATAAATATTTTCAACTTTGCATGCCATATGGTCTCTGTAGCAACTATTCAGATCTACCACTGTGGCATGAAATTGAGCCATAAACACATATATGAATGGGCATAGCTGTGTTCAATAAAACTATTTACAAAGACAGGTGGCAGGCAGGATTTGGCCCCTGCTGTAATTTGTAAACCTCTGCTTGAGAGAGCTGTGATGATGGGAGATTTAAACTACACCCAATTTAACCACTTGCTGCCTTATGTTGGCCAGGCTTCTACTATAATTTATGCTAAGAAATAGGTGGAAGGAGGGAAAGGAAAGAAATTTGGTTTATAGACTGGAGTTCAGAAGGTTTTAGGAGGTCAAGTTATAAGAAATAGCTTGGTGAGAAAAACAAGTGTTGCGAGGAAGAGGCTATGCTAGAGACAGGACAAAGAATGACAGCAGCTTATTCTTAAACCACACAAAGGTTTACCCTCGGCTGTTAGCACATGCTAGAAAGAGGGCAGTTTCTTTGCATGATTATGGTAGAGGGCCAACCAGATCAAAGAGTTCAAGCAACCTTATCTGCATCTGCTCCCTGAGGAAACTCTACTTAATCTAAGATCAGGGGGTTGGGATACACCATAAACAGCTCCACCTGATGGATGTTGGCCTCTTGTACTTTTATCTCCTGGGGACTGGAACGAGATGGATTCAAGAAGTAGCCATGATTTTCTACTACACCCGGAGTCTTTAATAAACAGGAGATATTCAGGATTACTCCCAGCAAGGTCTTCTGATACATCTGCCCATTGCTAGGGTCCTTGGGCTGAATGCACTCTACAAAAACCTAGGAGAAGACAAGTCCTACTTATTTGTCTGTACGATAAAATAAATGTGATGCGGTGAGAGGGCCTCAAAGAGTTAAGTCTATACAACAATCAATACATCTCTTATTCAATAGGTAATATTGTAGTGCCCTCAGGATAGGGCAGCATAAAGTATTAAAAATCCAGCTCAACTGTTCATATGCCACCTTTCAGACTTACCTTTGCCATATCCTTTTGCCTAGTGAAATAAAGAAGAATATCCAGATATGCATACAACAGGATCTGGCAGAGTTCTAGATCTTTTATTCGGCCCAATAAAATATCAAACACTGGAATCATGACTTCTGGAAATGTTCGCACTTCCTCATCCAATGTCAAGGCTTCAATGACCTCTTCTAGAAACTCAGTTACATCTTCAAAATCTAACAGAAGGCAAATGAGAGAGAAAGGAGGCTACAGGAATTTTTTACATGCCTTTATACATTGGCTCTTGACTCTTTGGATACTTTTGATATTCCTCCCCAAAGGTCAAGGTGTGAGCTCGCTTCCTTAATTTATACTGGAACCATAGTGGCTCTGAGGCTTTCCAATGCAATGAAAATTTCAAATTTGGAAGTCAAATTGTAGAAGCTCACAGATCTTGTGTATGTACTCACGGGCTCCTTGGATGGCTTCCAACATTAAATCTACCAGCTGCTCATGGATGTTTTGGTCAACATAGATCTCTGGGGTGAGGAGAACTGTTCGTGTATTGGACACAGTGAGGTTCCTGCACTGCACCGCAAAGGGCAGCAGGTTCTCTGGAACTTTGGTAATCTGGAAACAACATAAAGAGAGGAAAGAGGATCTAGTTCTATGACCTGGCACATGGGTTCACATAGCAAATAGAATAGAAAAGACACTGTGTCCCAAAACAATATTGCTCTCCTGTGGATGCTTGAAAATTCATGCGAGTTCATTCCTTGGTTTAATGAATCACCTACCTGTTAGAATTCTAATCCTGGAAATGACCAAGCTTAGCTTGCTCTATTATTTACACATCAGTGAATTTACCAGACCTTTTTTTAAGGGAATGATTTTTTTTTTTAAAGTTTTTATTAGGGAATTGGGGGAGGGAACAGCGTTGGGGAATTGGGGAAGGGGAACTGACAAGTTGCTGTCCTTTTGTTCTTCAGTCTAGTTGTGGAGGACGTCGCTTCACTGGCCCATGATGGTATTATCA